CGCCTCCAGCTTTTTGGTCTTGCGACTTCCCGCAGCAGCCAGAAACAGTGGGCTCTGGGACCATAGGGTGCAAGACGTGAGCGGCCGAGAGTAGCTCCTACCAAAACTTCCCCGCAAAGGGTAGCGGGGCCTTGGCAGCCCCCACGCTGCTCACCAGCGTCTAGCGCAGACGCCTTCGCTGCAGGCTTCGCGGAGTTAGCGGCGTCTGCAGGCCGCTCAGGGCCTTGCTGGGGTCCTCGGCCGGAATTCAGGGCGGCCCGCCACCCCCGGCCCAGCCTTAGCTGCAAGGGTGCCGTCGCAGGCTGGAGCCCTTGGGCTGGAAGTTAGAGCTCGGGCCTCGGAAATCCCCACCCCCGCGCCGGGCGGCCGAGGGTTAGACCCTCCCCGCCCCGCTCCGGGAGGGGTGGGGAAGAGGAGAGCGCCCGGCGGGGCTAGGGGGAGAGGGCCGTCGGCATCTGCGCGGGCTAGGCTGGGGACTCGGCAGAGTAACCGAGCGCCAGCCCGGAGCCCGCCGCGCGCGAGTGCCAGCGCCGAACCCCCACCTGTAGCTCTCCTCCGCGGCATTGCGCACCCCAGTCCTTGAGTATTTGGAGGAGGTGTGTGGCGTTTTGCATAGCAATGCGAACTGGGAGAATGAGTTTGTACCCACCCCCAACACAACATAGACAGGTACCCCCTCGCTCTGGCTTACGCCTCTCCCACACACCCCCAGTTCGTGGTGCACACCCTGTCTCCCCAGTCTGCTCTGAGCTTCTTGTAAAATCCTAACTGGCTCCTGCCCACTCCGTTGTACAGCCTGCTCCTGGGGGGCTCCCCGGAATACAGGCGCCGTGCAGGTAAAGGCGCCGGGGACCTCCTCCCTGGGCAGACGCCGCTGCCTGCCAATTCGAACCATGCGGGCTGGCAGTTCCTGTCAGCTGCCCTGGCAGTGCGCTGGCCAAGTTGCTAAACGGAGCCTGTTGGGCAGCGCCTAGGAGGAGCTGAATAGGAGAAGCACCCAGGCACACGCTGGCCTGGCGAGGCTGCTGGGGCTGAGAAGTGAGTGAAAGGGGTGAGGGGAGCAGAGCTTGAGGGAGGGCTTCCTCCCGCTTCTGCCGGGGTAGCCTGGGCAGCGGCCGGGAAGCAGGCGGCTAGTCCCAGCCGCTCCAGCTCAGCGCAGCCCAGAGGGAGGCCCCTGCTGCGTGACCTCAAACACCTGGAAGCTGACTGGCCCACTGCAAGTCACTCACACCACAAACAGGGCTCCCGCCTGAATCCTGGGTTCCCACAAAACCCACACTTGCCCCAGGAGTGGGGGTGTCCCAGTCAGGGCTCATATCTGCCCACACAGCCCCCTAGCACAGACCGACCACACAAAGCTGCCATTATAGTTAACAGGTTGAGCCAGATTCATGCGTGCTGTCTTCCTGCAGCACTCGGGGCCTCTCAGACCCCGCCTGCCAGGGTTTCCGCCCCACTCCCAGCTCCCTGTGGGTCCCCACCCACTCATGCCCCCTAGCTGGACTGTGCCAGCCTGAGCCCCATTCCCAGCCCTCTCTCAGAGGGAACTTGGTCAGTGCAGTCTGCTCACTCCGCTGGCCTGCTGGTGAAGAAAGCAGACCTTTCTGTCCAGACAGGTTTGTTAATTCTTTTTCTCTTCCCACACCTCTACACACAATTATTCAGATAATTTGTTCCTTTTTCTATTTTTGAACAGGCACCACCATTTCTGGCAGGGGACTTGGAGACGAGTTTTCTCCTGCCGATAGTTGACCCTCTCTGTGACCCAGAGGCCCCCTCCCCTCCAGCCTCCACCCCACTGGCCACTGAGTGGGTCCAATTGCTCAGGGATCTGACGCCGGCTGAGACTTCCCTGTTGCTCCCGCCCTCAGCGGCCGCAGACACGGGTTTCTTCCAGAATCGGTCCCAACGAATTCCGGTGGAGAGAGGGAAGCCTCTCTCGGGTCCTCTCAGTGCCTCTGAGGGTCTCAGGGCCCCAGGGAATCTGGCAACCCTTGGAGATCTTGCTCCAGGGGCTGGAGTGTGGGAGGAATCTGGGAGAGATTGCCTGCTGCCCAAGTGGATAGCGGAATGGTAGTGGGTGGCAGTGTGGGCAGGTTGGGGGGGAGAGGGTAGCAAGGCTGGTTGGCTGCTGACCAGGGGTCGCTAGACCCCACGGATGGGGATCCTGACAAGAGAGGTGCCACTCGCCCTGGAAGTTCCCAAAGAGTTGCATAGACTCAGAAAACAGGGGCCCTGAGTGGGAAATTTCCCTTGTGGTTGGGAGTGTGAGCTCCAGGCTGTTTGTGAAGATCGACAGGTAAGAGGTAATTTTTTGAGGGGAGTGTGTTGTGCATGATTTTAATTTCCTTAGTCTTCCAAGAGGGTGTGAAGAGGTGGAAGTGAGGAGCTTCGGACTTTAGAGCCCTCTGGGAGGTTATGTTTGGGCATAACAGCTGGACAGTCTGAGGCCAAGAAACACCCAAGAGCGCCAGAAGTTGGGAGTAAGAAGGCTCCAGTCTCCCAGGTGCAACCGTGAGCCAGAGCCCCAAGGGTAGTCTTCAGAGGGCAAATAGAAGGAGACCAAAGGGAGGCAGAAGTTAGGGGCTGCTGGGTCTCATAGTCCCCTCCAGAGGAGGCGGACAGGCACACCTGTCCAGGCAGAATAAAATTAATTCTGTGGCTCCAGGGAGCCCATTTCTGGATTTTGCTTGCACAGAAACTGGGCACTGCAGCCAGTGCAGGCAGGAGAGACTTACAGCCAGAACCTTCTCCCTATGACCAACATACACAGGTTCTTTTTTGGTCATCAAGTGGGCCTTTGGACCCAGAAATCTCCCTGGAGAAGATGGGCCCCACAGGTGTGGGATGATGAGCACACCCACCTCTCACGAGCCAGGTTTCCCCCTGGGCCTCCTCAACTGGGAGAGTGCTCTGCTTTCCCCCCACATCAGCTAGAAGCTCCAGAATGGTGACCTGGGCAGAAATGAAGGACAGAGTATTGATGGTTTTGTTCACTCCCTCCCCCACCCCACCCCCGCTGGGGCATGCACACCTCTGCAGACCCAAACAAGCTCCATGTTCCACTCCCTTCCACTTTCTAACCACAAAGTCCTGTAACTGTCCCATCCCAAAGAGAGCCTCTCCAATCACCAAGAGTGCAGAATGGCAAGTTCCCCGGAGCCTCCACTCCTAGCCTCTTCCTGAAGAGCATACTCAAGCCAGTTTTATACACCTGAGATTGCACAAAATCTCAGCCCCCCTAAATCAGTGACCAGCTGGTATAGATATGAGGGGTGTGTGTGCATGCAGCTGCTATCCTGGGCAAAGTGGTCTGGGGGTTCCCTAGAGATCTCTGGGGAGTCATCCATTCAGATCCTTCCTAGACCAGGCTAGTGCTGGGGGTTGCTTAGAACAACACAGAGGATCCTGGCCCAATTATTGACACAGCATACCATATCCTATTTCCTGGATTTTGTTGGTTAAGGGGCTAGAACCCCAGAACTCCTCACAGATGTTGGTATTCCCACAATGGATGGGTACACCCCACCTGAGAGTCTCACTAACATGTACTTACCAGTAAACAACTGTACCCACTTCTATACAATCGCACATACCCACAGGAACGGTCACTCCCTACTCGATTCACTCCTCCGAACACACCCAGTCACATGCATGCCATACAGTTAAAATACACATCAACACATTTCACACACAATTATAGTCATACAATTACAGGTGACACACAATCACAAACATGTACATGCTTAGCACAAAAAATATTCACAAAGAGAAACTAACATGTGCTCTCACAAACTTATGATTCATACACAATCACAAATATGGGTGGATGATCACATAATTACCCAGAAGAAAATCACACTCACACACACTCACACACACACCACTCCCTACTAGTCTGTGTGCACAGTGAGTTTCGATTTGCAACTTAAGCAGAAACACACAGTAATTGCGAACACAGTGACACATTTAACACTACTACAGACATTTATTATCTGTAACACCTGGCTGGACACACCACAAACACACAATGTGCACACACAACTCTCACGCCCAGACATTCACACCGTCTTGAACACTGGCTGTCCCGGGAGAGCACGCTCCCCCTCCTTTCTCAATGCTGCCTTCTCTCTGTCTGTTCCTTTCCTTTTCTCTGTCCAGGGCCCACAGGTCCCTGCCCAGATGTCCCTCCAGGTTAGACACCAGCACTACCCTGGCAGCACCAGCTTACAGATCCAGTAGTTGCACCGTGCAGTGAGAGCCAGGCTCAGCAAGGAGCAGGCAGCCCTGACTCCGAATCTGGAGGGTTTTATTTTTTTACACATAAATTACACGAGCACTTTATAAAATGGTTACACAGAAAACACCTTATAAGTGCATAACTTAAACCCCCTTTATGAACAGGATTTGGAGAAATGGGCTGAATTTGTGTGAAAATCTGTCTGTGCGTACCTGGGTGCGGCTAGAATGTGTGATAAGGGCCTGGCAAGGTCGGGTGACCCGGGTGTGTGAAGGAAGGTGTGTCACAGTGTGGCCGGGGCCTTGTGTTTCTGAGAAGTGTCATGCTATTCACCATGAGACTGGGCCACCCCAAGTCTGAGTCTAAGCCGCCCAGTGAGAGTCCAGAGTGTAAAGGGGATGGCTGTGTGTGCATGACATTCTCCCCAGGCCCCCTGCGTGTGACTCTGAGGTTACACCTGGAGGGGAGGTGAAATCACCTTTGTGGGCCCATGGGTAGTCTTGTGTGATGAGTGGGATACAGAGAGAGTCTCCCCAGGGTAAGTTCAAATGACAGCCATTGCTATCTTCTGCTAATCCCAGAACTTCTTCCCACATCTCCCTGGCCTCTCTGGACCCCTGGTTAAAAATCAGGGGGAAAAAATAGACGCAAACTGAAGAGACCCAACAATTCCAGAGGGCTGAGAACCGCATAGGCATCTGGGAAGAGGTGGCCTGTCCCTGTTCCACGGCTCTTTTCTTCTTTTCCAAGGAAGAGAGAGCATTATGGGCGCCAGCGCACACCAGTGCAGACGGGCCGGGGTTCCTCTCTGGCGGGGAGGAGCGGGAGACAGTCCTGGCTCACTCCGACCCCTTGGCTGGGCCCCGGGTCTCACTGGCGAAGTGTCAGGCTCACTCGCAGGCCGAGGCCACCGACGTAACGCTGGTGATCTTGGTCGAGTCGTCAGACCACGGCTGCAAGTTCTGCAGGGCGAAGAGCGACGAGTTGTGCACGCAAAGCGGGTCTGCCGGCAGCGGCTGCGCCAGACTTTTCTGAAAGGCCTCTTGCTGCAGCTGCAGGAGAATGCGGTTCGCCTGCTGCCTCTCGGCCTCGCGCTCCTCCGCGGTTTGCCGCCTGCACGGGGACAAGCCGTTACCGACTTCAGGCGCGCTCTCGAAAGCGCGTCTGAGCGAGCACTGCTCCCAGACGCAGCCCCCCAATTCACCTGGGCCCTTTGAACGCACCCCTTATTTGGGGGGTCCTGGCTCTGACAAAGACTGGAAGCCCCTGCAGTAGCTGCAGCGGAGATAGCTTTGGGGAGCTGTGGGAAAGTTTGCTAGACACAGCACGCGCACCCCACCGGCCTCCGAGGGCGCAGCCAGGGTAGGATGGCGCGGCCTGGCCGCAGTCTGGGAAAAGACCCGGCGCCGCCCCAAACCTGAGGGACCTCGCCCTCCCCAGTCGTCGCAGAGGCAAGGGTGGCTACTAGCGAGCGGCGCTGTCTAACGCTCCGCTCTCCCGCGGCGGCGTCTCGAAGGCCCCGACGCCGGCTGCGCTCTGCTGGAGCGCAGGCTCCCGCTGGACCAGCCGGTTTCCTCCGAGGTAATCCGGGAGGCGATGACTCATTTATTCCATTTAATGCCGCCCCCCTCCCAACCCGTCAACTGAGATCAAACGTCTGTCTCTAAGGTGGACAGACCTAATGGGAGTCCCCGGGGCCTCCAGAAGCAATTTGTAGGCGATCGATGAAGCCGCGCGAAGCCGGCAGGGCCTCTCCCAGCGGCGGCCGCCAGCCTCCTTCCTCCGCCCGTCTTTTGCCTTTTCGCTCTCAGTGTCTTTCTGCCTCTCATCTTCCCCTTCTTCCCCACATTTGAAACTGCTTGAATGTTTCTCCCCCTTTAGGTTTTGTGTCTTTATCCCTCATTTGCTCTTACCCAGATCCACTTTTCTCAGAATAAAGGGGATTTGTTTGAAACGAAAACGGAAGTTTTAACAATCCACTGCTCTCCTTAAATACACAAAGGGGTACTTCAGGCTGCCTAGTTTTTTCCTTTTCTCCTTGAGGTGGGGTGTCTACGCCCCCTTCCTTGTGTTTCAGTTTCTCTTTGTCTGCAACTTTCTCCCTTTCCTCCTCCACCGGTAGCGGTAGCGGGGCTGGCCTGCTCTCTCTGCTGCCCCAGGTTGAAGTCCTAGTGAGTCTTGGGAATGCGGACCAGTTCCTGACAAGCTCCTCAACGCAGCAAGTCCCAGCTCCCTCTTTTAACTACCTTTCCAGAGGTTTGAAACCAGCCTCCTATCTCCTCCCCAGCGGCAGGAATGTGCTGGGGGGGGGGGGCTAGGTAGCAGACTCTGGGGGCTCTGGCTTACTTCCGGGGCTTGACTGGGAATCCCAGGCAGATTTCTCGCCTTCATTCAGAAAGAGGAAACTCCTATTCCTTCCTCTGCCCCAGGTCCGCCCTGCCAGGCGCCTGACTTCACCCAGACTCTCTCATACTCCCCTGTAAGCCTGAGCTAGAAGGAACTCTTGGCGTGTGTGGAACCAAGTTTGTGGGCTAGACACGCAGGAGGGTCAGGGGCACAAGAGTGCAGTCCCCGGAAGTGGCTTCGTATTAGAGGGTAAGGTTGCCTGGGAGCTTGTGGGAATCGTGTATCCCGGGGTGAATGGTTGAGGGGTGTGTGTGTGTGTGTGTGTGCGTGCCAAGTGTGTGTTTTGGGGGAGATGACTGTAATAAGGATAGTTGTGGGTTTGTGACTGGAGAGGGAAATGTCTCTCTTTCATGCACACACACCCCCATCTGCTCCTAATTGATCCTCCTTTCACTGGGACAGGAGAAATCCCCACTGCAGCCGGTGTGGATTGATTTTCCGCCTCCAGGGTGGGGAACTGGCTAGCCAAGGCCAGTGTCTGGGGAGGAAGGAGTCAAGGCAGCCCAGATCATCGGCCTGGGGCCCCAGGAGCCCTGCGGGAGCCCGGCTGGGGCGCAGAAGCAAGACTGGGATAGAGGAGACTTCTCTGTAAGCTCGAGTTTGGGCAAACAAATCCCCCATCTCAGGGCTCACTGATCCCAAACTTGGTGGGCTGCATGGACTGCTCTAACCTGGCTGTATCCCCATGCGGCAGCATACACCCACCGAGTCGACACCGGCACTGTGGGTGCCAGCCAGAAAGCTATGAAACCTCAAGTTGAACGGAGTCAGGGCTGTCCAGCGGCGTCCTGACCATCGCCACGCTTGCTTTCCACTCTGCGCAGCTGAGGAGGAGCGCTGGCTCCCCTGAACAGATCACCACGCCACTGGAGAACTGAGTAGTACTGGGCGCCCCAAGAGAGGCCCATGCGCCAGCGGGAGACTGCACTAACCGCGGCCGGCCGCGCCCGCCCCGCGCTCACCTCCACTTAGTCCGCCGGTTCTGGAACCAGGTTTTGACCTGCGCGTCGGTCATTTTGAGTGCCTTGGCCAGGGCGGCGCGTTCGGCCGAGGCCAGGTATTTCTGACGGTGGAAGCGCTTCTCCAGCTCGCAGATCTGCAGGCGCGTGAAAGACGTGCGCGGCTTCTTCTTCTTGGGGGGCGTCCGGTTCTGATAGGGGTGACCTATACGGCGTGTTACAGTGAAGGGTGAGAGGGCCACTGGAGCGGGAGACAGACAGACGGCAGAGGCAAGCAGCAGAGCGTCAGGAGGCGTCCCAGGCCCGATCCCCGCGAGTCTGCGAGCGCCGCGGCTAGACCCCAGGCGCAGGGCTGTGATCCTCCCGGCAGCCCTCAGCGCAAAGCCCGCGGCGGGAAATGGCCCCCTCCCGCCCGCCAGGCCGACGCCACCGCCGCAGCCGCCGCGGCCGCTGCCAGAGGCCGCCCTAGCCCCAGCTTTTCACGTGCCCATCCAGACACAGCCTTCTTGCCTCCCAGGTCCCTCGGAGCGGCATGTTTGAGGGAGCTTAAAGATCGCAGCTCCCCCCAACCCCCAAGTCCCAGGCCAACGGCCTCAAAAGGAGGGGACAGAGGAGAAGAGGCCATCTTGCTCAAGGCCCTCCCACCCCTGACTCTGGGTCCTGACCTGTCCGTCTGCCTTCATCACACAGCAACATACACAGACACGTCCCAAACAACTGGGCAAAGTGTAGATTTATACCCCAACAAAGCCGGTGGACGCACACAAACACAGGCACAGGTACAGAGGCAGGCAGACACAGGACATAGGGCCACAAGTGGTGACACAGGGTGACAGTCGTACGTGCCCTCAGACTCTTCTTTAAGCCTGAAACAGGATTTGGGGGTGGGGAGCCAGGGCTCACCTAGCTAGGCCCTACCTGAAGTAACTTTCATCAAAGACCAGGAACCAGTGGGCTCCAGGCTGAGGACTCCACCAGAGCCTGGCCCGCTGAGGTGTGAGAGAGATGGGCACCAGGCCTTGCCGCCCCAGGCCTGGGAAGACTTGGGTTGGAGCACAGGGTGCCTCGGGTGCCTCCTTCCTGGAGGCCCACGGGAACTGACTGTTCTGCCTCTGCCTCTTCCCCTCTCCCCAACTTATGCAACAGCCTCAGAGTCTGGGCCAGCGAGACTGGAATGGGGAATGTGCTATTTGGAGGCCACCTAGCTTGGGATCTAAGCAGCCTAGCCCCCTTCCTCGGTACCCCCTAGAGCCAGAGGCCCCTGAGAGTCCCACGTTGTATTCCCCAGCGGCCCGTGCCTCCGCGTCTGCTCTCTGAAGCGTGGCTGGGGGCTCAGGTTAAATTCGCGGTTGGTATCCAGTGGACTTGGGGGCCCCCGGGCGTGAAGACCGCAGTCTCGGATGCGCGGAACACTCAGGGCAGTGGGAAGTGAGGCTGAGAAAAGGGGCCCGCGCCTGAGTTAGAGCCGTTCCCAAGCGGAAGCCGGAGCTGAGGGAGCCGGGCCGAGTTGAGCAAGGAGCGAAGCAGGCAGGGCCAGGGCGGCAGCCAGCCGCCGAGTGCGTAATTGTCCCAGGAGTTGTCCTCCGGCCGCGATCGATCGCTGGCTTGGCCCGTGCATTATTCACGCCGGAGGGAACAGGGCTGGGCGGGGGTATGGGGAGGAAGCCGACTGGGACCCAACGAAAATGAAGCAGCCGCTCAGCCTCACGCTGCCACCGACCCAGACGAAGCCGGCAGTCTGGGAAGAAACCCGCCAGCTCCGCCGCTTCCGTCTGGCCCCGGGTCTCCACTGGGCCGGCGGCAAGTGGGCTCGGAGAGAGAGATGAGGCGGCGGCGGTGTGTGTGTGCAGGGGTGGTGGTGGGGGCGCCAGGACCTGGTCTTTCCTAGCATCTGACTCCCGGCTGGCCACCTCGGCCTGGGCGGAAGAAACAGTTGATCGCTTCGCGCCCGTTTCGCCGGGATTCCCGAGCCTCGGAAGCCGAAGGGGGCAGTCCGCAAACTGCACCCCGCTCCCCTCCCCTTTGACTGGGCCCAGTGAAAGGGGACCAAGGGGCGCTTCTCAAAACTGGAGTCCTGCGGGAGACCGAGAGGCCCAGGCTGGGAGAACTGCTCAGGCACGGCGACTCGGGACCGCAGAGAGGCGGTGGGCCGCTCCACTGACCCGCGGCACGGGGCGAGCTGGCTACCTGGCGCGCAGAGGGTTCGCGGGGAGCCGCAGGGCAGGGGAGGGAAGCGCAGAGCCCGGGCCGCGGCCAGCCGGGGCGCGCGCGGGCCGGACTCACCTGTGA